AAAAAAGCCGCAATCGCGATCTGCAGCACTTCGGCGGTAATTCGGCGGGAGGTCCTTCACTCCAAGTGGGAGTGAGGGACCCTCCGCCGAATAGCTGGACGTGCCACCCCTCTCCGGGGTGGCCGCCCCAAGCACCTGCTTGCTAAACTGGTGCCCGGAGCCGGCCCTGCAGCTGGGTTTAGTCCTGGGCGACTGACTCCAGCCAGGCCTGGGAGAGGCTGAGGTTGGGAGTGATGGGCAGCGGGCGGAGTGTAGGTAGTTCCGGGCCCAGTTCAGTTCTTGAGCGTAGACCCCGGTGCCCCTCACTCCTGGAGGCGCTGGTGCCCGAGAGAGAGGGTCCATCCTGGATCAGAACCAGCCACAGCCACCTCCCAGGAATCCTGGGGAGCTGCTTGGCAGCACTTCAAGGGTTAGCATCGATCAATCCCACCTCAGCTTCTATTTGAGCAAGGAGCCGGCGGGCCCGAGAATGGGGCCGGACCAGGGCACCGCTTGCTGCTAATCTGCTGGGTCCCTCTGTCCCTGCAGTCCCTCTGGAGATGTCTGTGTTCCTGAGAGAGCACCTGAACTACTGGTACAGCCTAAAGGCCTATTACCTGGCCAAGACCATGGCAGACGTGCCCTTCCAGGTGAGGATGCAGCATGGGGGGCGGGGGGATGAAATAAACTCTCCTAGGTTAGGCTCCTGGGCTGCTCTGCCTACAGGGAGATCCAGGGCTGGCTTCTCCTGGGTTCCTGCTGCTCGTTGCACAGCCTGGGCCCTGACCTCCTTGGAGAGGTGCAGAGAGGGGGGTTCATAGAGCTCCGGAGGTCCCAGATCCCTGCCCTTGGAGCTCACAGTATAACTTGGATCACTGTGATGTTTGGGGCCACAGAGCAGGGGTGCAGAGACCCCGTTGGTGCAGGGCACAGCACGCAGCCTTGGTGGAGGTGGGTCCTGCTGAACCATCTCCCTTCTGCCCCCTGCAGGTCATCTGCCCCATAGCCTACTGCAGCATCGTGTACTGGATGACAGGCCAGCCCCCGGAGGCCACCCGCTTCCTCCTCTTCTCCGCCCTCGCCACCTCCACCGCCCTAGTGGCACAGTCTCTGGGGCTTCTGATCGGAGCAGCTTCCACCTCCTTGCAGGTCAGAGGGGGCGCTGGTTTTAGTGGGGACCCTGGGCTGCATGGGGGGCAGAGAGGGACAGCCTCTGGCAGAGTTTGCACCCGTCTGCTTTGTCAGGGTCCGTAATCGAGCCAGTGATGTGCCAGAGTGTGTGCAAGGGGGTGTCCGCTGTGCAAGGGCGTGGCACTGAGAGCATGAGCGTGCATGTGCGTGGTGCCGTGTGTGCACACCAGAGCGTGTGTGGTGGGTGTGGGTTCGCGTGACACTGGCCACGTGCTGTGATCCCCCAACCCCATTGCCATGCCTGACTCCGGCCTGCCTCTGCCTTGCAGGTGGCCACGTTCGTGGGACCGGTCACTGCTATCCCCGTCCTGCTCTTCTCAGGCTTCTTCGTCAGCTTCAAGACCATCCCCACGTACCTGCAGTGGACCTCGTATGTCTCCTACGTCAGGTGGGGGCTCGCAGCAGCAGTGGGAACAGGGCACTGGCAACACTCGCGCGTGGATGGTGACTGCCCTGCATCCCTGCTAATGCTCCCCCAGACGTCCCTCTGGGAAGGCTTTGCAGGGGGTTCAGGCCTGGCCCCAGGGCTGGAGGGGACATCCAGCTACCAGGGACACCCTCTCAAGCCATGGCACCCTGCTCCCGGGATGCTCTGGCTGAGGGGTGGTAGGATGCAGGAGAGGCAAGGACCCTGGAGGGATGGTGCCCCCTTGTGGCTGCAGCTGGGTTGCACAGGCCTGCAGCTTCTTTGAGGATGGAGACAGCCAGCCTTAGGGGAGATGATTTTAGGTGTATCTGTCTGGTCCCTGGCCACACAGCAGTGCCAGTTCTGCAGCTGACCAGCCCGATACCCCCAAGTGCTACCAGCTCCACTTCTGTCCAGATCCTTGGTGGCCTCTCCCAGCCAGCTCCCTGGCGTGCCGTGATGCTGATGCCACTCTTGGCAGGTGCAGCAGGATCGGTATCACCCGTGGCTGGCTCCCTGCTGCAGAGCAGTCCAGAGGCTCACCCAGTCCTGTGCCAGGTGAGCCGCAGCCACCCAGTGTGTGTGCAAATCCGGGGTGCAGCTGGCACTAATGTTGCTTGTGCTCTGGCGCAGGTATGGCTTCGAGGGCGTCATCCTCACCATCTACGCCATGGAGCGTGAGGACCTGGAGTGCCGGGAGACTCCCTGCCCCTTCCAGAATCCCATCAGGATCCTCCAGGAGCTGGATGTGGAAGAGGCCAAACTCTACCTGGACTTCATCATCCTGGGCATCTTCTTCCTCGTTCTGCGGCTACTGGCCTACCTGGTCCTCAGGTACAAGGTGAAGTCTGAGAGATAAGGGGGCCATCGGGGCCCGATGCCTTTCCCAGACCTGATCTGCCACAGCATGGACAATCCCAAAGGGACTCTCAGTCTCTGTGGATGTGGGACCACAGGGGAGGCATCGGGGAGGTGGCGACCAGTCCTGGCTCAGTCGAGAAGGTTTTTTGGGACATCTCGGAACTGTTTTAACCTTTCCACACTCTTCATCGCAAATGTTTTGTACCGCCCTGGAATGCCTCATTCTCTCCCCTGGAGCCGCGTCATCAGATGGATCTTGGATTCCTTCTTCCACCCTGTGCCCCAAACCACCACCTCAGGACACCGATGGAGGCAGTTGTCTTCCAAGCCAGAGAAAGAGAGAGCTGCCTGCCAAGGCTTTGCCGTTTGGGGAAAGGGGTTGCGCCGGTCTGAACCCTGTTTACCTCCCGCAAAGCACAGTTTTGTAGCGCAGTGTGTAGTGCAGTTTTTTAACTTGCCTGTGAGTCGATGTCCAGTAGCATGTGTATCCATATTCAGAAGAAATCAGAAGACAACAATAGGCTACGTGGCAGAAGGCTTTCGTGTTTACCTTAGCCATAGCAACAGCCAATGCCATAGCCCCTGTCTTTTTTTGTAAACTTCCCTTTTTCTTAAGGAAAAAACCAAACCAAATGACAACTCAGCTGCACTTAGTACAGGAACAAGTGTTGCGGCTCTGGAGGGATGCAGGTAGATCAGGCCTCTGCATTTAGGATTTGGCAGGATGTAATATTAGTAGAAACATTTCAATGAAATTTTTTTAAATGATTTTTTGGGAAGTGGGAGAGTTCCCAGCCCTGCTGGGTTTGCCACCCAGGGCCCTGCCGTGTTGGACTACTGCATGAGACCCAGGGAATGATGACGCAAACCGGGCTAGCCATGAGTTGAAAGTGACCCGTTTCATAGAATCATAGAATATCAGGGATAGAAGGGACCTCAGGAGGTCATCTAGTCCAACCCCCTGCTCAAAGCAGGACCAATCCCCAGACAGTTTTTTACTCCAGTTCCCTAAATGGCCCCCTTTCCTTGGGAGCTGAGTAAATGGTGGAAAGGTAAGGGACAGATTCTCCATTCTCTTACGCTGGTGTGAATGGGAAGCAGCTGCCCTGAAGCCAGCGGAGTTAGGTTGGGTTGAGAGAAGAATCTAGCCCAGTGATTGACCTCAGTGGAGTTGCTGATCCAATGTGAAATCAGAATCAGTCCCTAGGGGCCCAATGCTGCAGATCACTTGGATCTGATTCTCCCAGTTAACCTGCACTTTGCATTGTCACTTACACCGGCACACAAATCCTGCCGAATCAGAGCGGAAGTGTTTTACCCTTGCTTTGCACAAGTGTAAAATGATAACACAACATGCAGGGCATTAACGAACCAGCCCCATTGAGATTAGCAGGATGTGGCCCTGAGCGGCATGAAAGGTGAAGAGTAAAGGACCTCTCCTTTGTGTTTAATAACCCCCAGTCTTGTTACAATGCAGGGAGGGACATTTTCATGTGTGGCTGACAATGGGACAATGCCCCTTTTACAGTTTGGCCTTGCAGCTGAAGCCCTGAATAGCTGTAGACAATCAAATTTCAAAACCTCCCCGAGCTCCCTAATCAGTAGCAGAAAACAGGCACAGAATTAAAAATCCCCAGTGCGTTTGTGTTCAGCCTGAAACCGTGTTTACCGTGTGTAGCACGTTGTGTAC